AAATCTAAACAACACTTGGTATATGTATGGGAAGGAGGGATGCTGGCCATGAAAACCTGTGTGCCCCTAGTATACTCAGTACAAAAAAGCGATCACCTATCTTAATTGGGACGTTCCTCGGACCTGCTTGGAAGTGCTTCAAAAATTGTTTAAATTTTTGGGCTCTGTCCTTCTTTTCAGCTATAAATATACATTTTTATGCTTCCTTACAAAACAAGAAAAACCCATTGACATTATATCTGTGTGATAATTCTGTTTTTAATCGTGCTGACAAGATATTTAGCAAGTAAAGTATCTCAGGTATAATATAAGAACCGAAATCACAGAGATATTCACAAAACAGAGATATAAAATAATCACTTCTGAAAAAAAAAATTTAATTCAGTGTACATCAGGGGGTAATGAAAGTGTGAGAATCTGACAGGGGGTGAAGGAAATTAGACCCAAGTCATAAAATTTCAGATCCTTAGAATCTGTACTCCCCGGGGAGAGGCAAGAGACATTTCAACCCACCATTTTCCACAGTATCTCAATATTTCCAATCCCACACATGCTGCACAATAGAAATGCCCCAATTGTGATGCTAATTAGTTCTCATTACCCTTCATATCACAACATCCCAATCAAAAACTCGGCCTTCCTCAGCTCTCAAAAGAGCAACTTTCTCATTGGTCAATTTCATTGGACAATGGGCGTGGCTTAAATGAGTGTGACTGACAGCTGAAAGGTTCATTAAATCCACACTGAGCTGTCAGTGGCAGACTCACTCAGTCATTCTGTCTTGTGGAGTATTTAAAGTGGAGTTGGGGGGCACCCAGAACATGCCTGATTGTATAAAACCATAGGAACTGTTTTATGGAGTTATAAACTGTGACATGTCACTGTTGATTTCTGGTAACGTTTTTATCTTCATCTTTGGAGCTTTACTTATTGCGCAGAACTGATCTGTCCAGGTTATTTACCCACTTACCCACGAGGAAATTGAGAGTACAAACACTGAAGACCACTGTCCACTATAAACATCTGCGTAGTTCTCAGTACACAGCTTAAGAGGAAAATACTATTTGAGGTAAGATATAGAACATGTGTTATCAAGCAGGCTTGGGGTACCATTACATAATGTATTGCTTGGTATTAGTGTTCGCACAATTTTGTACTAAAAATAGCAGAAAATTAATCAATATCAATAATTAATAAAAAAAATAACTAAGTTCTGCATCATTAAAATACTGCTCCTCCAAAGTTCACTGTCAAATATGTGTACATATCAAATGTGTCTCAATTACTAAAAATATTCCAAGTTGACGGAAGTGCAATGATGGCAAGTTTTGTTATTGTTACTAAAGGAGAATTATGATAGCAACTGCCAACACAGTGTGGGTATCTGGTGGTTGAAGAGAGGGGTGAACATTATACAAACCAAGACAGAAATCAAAACCACTTAACAGTTATAACTACAGGCAAACAACATGGGGTAAATAATCATGAGATGTGGTCGCCTGGGCTTTGCATTATATCTTCTTAAAAAAAATAATAATAATAATACCTGATGAAAAGGAAAAAAAAAAAGAATTTTTTTTTAAATTTTTTTTTCATACTTTATTGAATAAACATAATATGTACCAGGTAAAAATCAAATTCTAATCAGTCGGCTTTGATGAAACATTTCTAGATTATTTCTATCTATAAATGTTTACAAATTAAAGCCTAAATACCCCCCTTAACTGATAATTTGGCACTATATCACTTAAATACAAACAATTAGAATGTCTGATCTTATCATCCTTGCATTACTATTCTTCCCTTTTTTTCTTCCACCTTGGATTGCTTCAGGCACAATTTACAGTGTAGTTGTAACAGTTTAACTATTTCTCTACTCTATGACCAAGTGACTGTGATCTCTCATACACTGATATTTAAGAGAAATGTTGCTGCCTGGTGGTGGGGTGGTAACAGAAATAATGCTCACAGTCTGCCGAAACTAAGCTAAGCCCTCACATATGCACTATGAATATGTGTTTAGAAACAACAAAGAATGCAGTCTGTTAAGACTTAAGTTGAGTCCTCATAAGTTAACTGTTAATTCACCCCCAGAGCAGATGAGGACAGTAATATGATGTTGAATCCAGCCCAAGGTGAAATAAGATGACCTAATGTTATCACCTGGGCCTTGGGGGAGGTATGGGGAATGTCCCTATCAGTATTAATAGATACACTGCCATGATATTGGTGATGTATTTACAGTTAAAAGGAGGGGATAAGATAAACTGTTAAAAAAAGTTCAAATACATCAAGTCAGGTAAAGCAAGATAGGCCTTACTTGAGAAATTACACAAAATAATATAATGGAAGAAAAGTCTTATTTATAGTACTATTTTAGTGTAATGCCATTTCATCATCATGTTTTACATTTCTTATTCATTTTCATAACCTTTTTCATATTAATTTGTCCAACATATGGATATACATAAAAAAATAAATATGGTTAACCCATTTTTCAAGACTAAAAAAAAGAGTCATCAAAATGATGTAATCAATTTAGTAACATAAACAAATCTAGTAATACAAATAGTAAAAAAAGGAAAAAACAATGCTTGCATCCTGCGCACAATGCCTTCCATTTCCTCTCCATTAGTAGGCTAATGGTGAACATCCCAAGGCTAAGGTCACTACTTCGCAAAAACAAAAGCAACAAAGAAGAGCAAACATGTTGAAAAATAGTGGAGCTACTGGTGCTTTTCATTCCCGCTTGAGGCTAGAAACGATACGGCTGTGGAGAAAAATCTCCAATTATCATTAAGAAATTACAGCTCTTGCACAACGCTCGGCAGTCTTGCATGCCTGTTAAGAAGAGTAAATTAAGAGGTAGAACCATGACCCTCAGCCACCCCCCATTGGTCTCAGAATTAAGGGGGTCATCCCTCCCGTCTTTGAAGTTGGTAAATATAGACCCCCACAACAATGGAAACGTCGCACAGCAAGAAATACTAGAGATGTATTCGAGGGGTTAGAATGCATGTCTTTGAAGCCTGTAAGAATAGATCACCACGTACCTACACAATAAGAACTTTGACTGTAACTTCCCATAGGGTCTAATTATCTAAAAATATCCCCATTCCCTTGGCGGGCTGAAAATACTCATTTTTCTGACCAGCAGATACCGCGGACAGCATGTAAGTGCCACGGGAGAAAAAAAATGTTCCTGGCTGGCAAGCACTTATATATAGGACCTGAACCCGACTGACTGTTACATGTTTAAGATGCCCCGATGAATTTGTGGCGTAGGCTTCCTGAGATGCAAAAACAATTGGTAGCAAATGGAGGTCTTTAGTTGGTCTCTAAATCAATTAGGGAGGTTTTTTAAAAAGTCAACAAGGGCACACTTATCCCATAAAAGCTAACTGTTGTGACAAGTTAAGTTATCACGCCATCTTCTGGATACGTGAATTATGGCTGTTACTACAAGAAGGCTCGGCTTGAACCAGTCAAATCAAGACATTAAAATATTTTTTCATCCTACAACTTCCATTTTGTGTTTTTCCTACAACTACTATGAAAGCTTTTTATGTAAGGTAATAAAGCATCATGATGACTGAAGGGCTATATAGCACACCTATCATTGGAACCAAATACCAATTTGTAGACAGCTATGTTTGTAGCTTTCTTGGATGAATGGATCTCTATTAAGAAAGAAATAATACAAAAAGACTGTTAGTAGTTTAAGTCCTTTTGATTCGAATACAAACACATCTTGCACTAATATTCCATCGGGACCCAAGACATATGATATAAAGAACAATGAAGGTTCAGGCCGAAGGCTGAGAAAGAAAATATGGGGGAGGTTCTTTTGTGAAAAGAGTGATGTCACATCGGTTCGGATGTCTCAATTTTCAGTGTGACCACAAGGGTAAAAACAGCCAACCTTTTGAAACAGTTTTCCTTAGAGTTCAAAGGGAACAAACAAAATCCTACCACTGACCACTGTGAGAGGGGCAGAGTATTCTTAGACAGGTCATTTTTTAAACTAATGGAACACCAAATACCACACTTCAATACTTCACCGAAATTAATTTTAAGTGGCAGCTTCCATCTACATCTAAGAACCACCCCATACAGTTTCACATGTGCTGGTCTCAGATCCATTTACTTCATTGTATCCGGTCACTTCTTCATGCCCATTATTACTGCTTGAGAACAAAATCCAACTTCAGCAAAATAAATTCTTTTCAAAATATTTCATGCATTTAAAGAGACAATATTCATTTCAAAAAGGAGCATGGGTTTTATAAGCTGTCACATCTATAACAGGACATAAAGGGAAAAATAAGATAAAAGAGATGTTTCTTTAAGAACTCCTTGGACCTGCTGTGACATCACCCTTTTCACTGCCATTTAAATACATGTATATATCTATATCAGCAACCGGCATAATTCTCAGTCAAAAGGTTCCCTAAAATCTATGCTGAATACCGATTTCAATGGAAATTCTCTGCTATAACTTGGCTCCTAAAAACAACATAATCAGCTGATGGTTTGCAAGATTTCCCCTTTCCAAAAAAAAGATACTGTTTAGTCGACACAGTCATTTATGATGCAGTATGTGCTAAAGCAGTGTGAATTCACTGATAAAACGGCCTCAGTTTCCCAATGGCAACTGTGAGAGTTGATTAAATGGAACCTTATAGCTCTGATAAAACCTTACTTACAGGAGATGTTACTGACTATGAAGAGAGATCAAATCTTTACCCGAAAAAAAAGTGCATGAAGACTTCTACTCAACTGGTGTGTGTGAATGTGCATGCATGAGAGAGAGAGAGAGAGAGAGAGAGAGAGAGAGAGAGAGAGAGAGAGTGGGGGGGGGGAGGGGTTAAATAAGAATTACCACAATCATTAGATACAAAAAAGTGCATAGAATAAATAGTTTGATTCTATTCTCTAAACTTGCCAAGCTGAGTTTCAGCCTTTCAGCATTTTGAAAGAAATGAGGAAAAATAACTGAATGCAAAGAAGAAACATCTAATGTAACATAAAAATGGATAATTTTGTCAGAAAACATTTGGATATCACAGCTCATAAATGTCCATTCCCCCAGAGCTGTCATGTCAGATCTGCTATCTTAGCACATAACTATTTGTCAAGAGAACACATAACTAATAATCTTGCCCATCAAGTCATTAATCAGCTAAATATGTCTACATAGAGAGATAGTGTGGGTTTTGTGACACAGATCACATTAGGTCTACAGATAAAGCTCATGCTAGTTTGTAAAAGGCTGGTGGAAAATGAAGGGGTGTTTTGAACTAAGGTTTTGCTGTCATCTAAGTTCTGGGCAGATTGTTGCGTTGTTATGACCTGTGGAGGAATTATCTTTTAATTTTCTCATGGTGAGTTAAAATTTTCTATGTTATTAATTTTATAAACAGCAAAGCAAGGTTAATAGGCCCTTTGGGAAAGCGGGTTTCAGGGAAGGGGGTTAAAAAAAAAACCTTTTGGCCTGAAAAGGTCTGGTCTAAAACAAAGCACATAGGTTTTCACAGTAAAAATTATATTAAGTATAGACTCATAGCATATAATATTAGAGAGTTTTGGCAAGGCCTTCCGTATGACGTGTAACGTATAGTTCAACACGTAATATGTTTTACGTACGCGAGAAAGCTAGCAGTGGTTTTGGCAGGTCTCACTCCGTATGCGTTTTTTTCCGGTAAGGGTATAGGCCTATATATATATATGGATTATACGAACATGGGGCTGCTTGTGGATTCTTTTTAGATAGATGAATAATTAAGATGTTGAATGGAATGTGTCATTTACGTCAATTGATGCCGCAGATCCTGTTGTTTATGAAAAAAAAATCAATTTAAATTGAATTTGATACTACTACGGACGACTGATTGACTGGCTGTTTCTCCAGCTGTTTTCACCGAGTATTTCTACCGACAGCGTCTAAAAGTGATTCAGTGGAATCTTAACACCCTATATATTCCTCTGCAGTATGTTATACTTGAAAGAAATAAGCGCAAATCTATTAAATTCGATACGTTTTTTACCTACGTGTAATCACCGATTCCTACGTAGTGCCGTATGACTTATGACTTGTCCTTGAGAAAAACTACGCACAAGGTGATGACGTCGCACGTTATACGTCGTACGGAAGGCCTTGCCAAAACTCTCTATTATTTCTTATCTTTTAAAAATACCCCCTTAAAATGAAGCAAAATGCCATTTCCTGATAATCAAAAATGCATAAACATAAATAACTTGGTATTGCTGTGGACCATTAAACTTATCCATTATTTCTGTCTCCCTTTGGAAAGCTACCTATCTCTAATGTAGATGCACATGTATAAATAACACCCTGCATATCAAACCTTTGTTTTGTAAACTCCACAAAGTCACATGAACTCTCACTTCTGAGGCTTAATAACATATATCTAGTTCTCAGCCTTCTCTCATAACCCCCGTCTCTCTAATCTAGCCATCATCCCCCAAAATTACAAAATTGGATTTCATCATAATTTGAGGTGTCTAGCCCCTAATTATGTATATCGCTCTTAACTGGATAAAGTGATAAAATGCGCAATAATCAAGAGATGATGGGGCCACAGCAGTCAGCAGGCCCTGGGGTTACGGCACTGTTTTCATACCTTTAATTCCTTATTCAACAAACTGCCCAGGTAGCCATCTCAAGTCATGATCTAAGAGAGCCATAAATAGGATTCTTCTTTAAGTCCCCTTAATTCAATTTAGCGCAGGTGAGCAGAGCCGTGCAATAGGTATCCATTACCCCATTACATAATGTGTCTTATGTGTGGGTCTCTTCATACCTTAGAGAGAAGGCTCTCTTTGAAAAGATTTTTAAGACAAAATTCTGGACACTACTGGACCAGAAGAGTTAAGGAAGGGCCTATGAATGTTAAATCTCTGAGACTTGACTTATATAATTTGTGACAAAGAAACGTGGAGTGTCTATCGGTGACTGACCTGAGGAGGTAGTAATTAGTTTTCCTTCTTTCATTGTATTCTGGACAAAGTTTTATTTCACCCTGATTCTGACTTTTGCTTCTGTTCAACTCCTGTGCATTTTTGCCTATTTTTTCTTATCATCCTTTTCATCACACATGCTTTTTCATAATCTATATATATATTTCTAAAAAAAACAAGATTTTGGAATCAGAAATTTACACTACAATATCCACTCACACAAAGGTAATCATTGGTGTCTTGATGCCACCCAAGAATTATTCATTCATCACAAATAAGTTAATCTCCAATGAAGTGTCATTGCAACCAAACATCTACATATTACTTGTGTATCTCTCTCAGTCCACTGATAATACACAATCCTGTTCATTAACATGACTTTATTAGATTTCAAATAGGGCTAGAGGCCAACTGCAAAAAGCTCTCTGCTGTGCTCTATCTTGACAGTTAACTCTGTCAGATTAACTGCAGAGAGAAAATTAAATGAGTAACAGTACTAAAATAGTACTAGTACTATACTTTCTCTCACTGTGGTACAGGCTTAAGTGGATGGGGTGGTGAGGGGGGGGGGAGGAAGAGGAGTGTTAGAGTATATATGCATGTGTATATAGATATGTGTATGTGCTTGTGTACATGCATATAAAGCTAGGGTAACAGTCTTATTTATTTAACAAAACTGCAGTTTACCCTATGTGTAAAAACATCACTTCTCGCTGGATATGTTAATCTTATCAACCTCCCCACTAATGGCATATACTTAAGGCGTTTTAGGAGGGCCATTACATTGCACATGGTGCTCAGCACGTGCAAAATGAACCCCAGCAGAATTCCTGAACGTGTCTGTTTTTTCATGCACAATCTTCCCCTGTTTCCATTTAACTCCCTAACAACAAGCATCCGCCGCGAACATACTCTCCCTGTTGAATGTCAGTGCCTTATTCTCGCCTTTGCAACAACATTAACAGAGTGGCCTTAATATTGCAATTATTCTCTTACAAGCTGCTGCACACATTTGTTCAGCTTGTCCAAACAGTTGTATGTTTTGGTGAGTTGGTGGGTGACAGGGTGGGTCTAGTGTTCCTTGGGGGGATATTTGGTACTCCAATCAGCATGCCTTGCTGTCTGGCTGCATGTAACCTTGTTCCATGCTCCACCTGATTTGGCAGTGGGCTAAAATATAAGTGGGTGCCACTTGCAGAGGTATATATAACGTTTGGGATGTTAAGTGTCAGACAGTTAAATTCAATGAAAAGTGCAAAGCTGGCAACCTAAATACTACCTGTGCTTCTCTAAGAATTGGTGAATCACTATCTAAATAGATGAGGCATCAAATCAAATTGAATAAGAATACATCCGAATCAGATGGAATTTTTGTGCTGGAAGAGCTGTCTAAAAGGAGTTTTGTTTTGTGTACGTTAATATGCACTAAATACATTCCTATCACTATAATGATTAATAAATCTTATCACAACTCATATTTTATGAAATAGTTTTCACACAATATTGATATGAACCAAGACACCCCTTTACTGGACTGCCATATGGCAGATATACATGTACCACTTCTAACAGGCAAAATATTATGGTAGAAAATTAATTCTGAAATTGATCAAATTTGCCACTTTACTGCCTTACAGAAAATTCAATATATTCATCCATCTGTATAATAGCCTTCTTTAAACACCTAATTCTCAACGGAATCCATTTCAGAACGCTCCGGTGCCGTTAATTATTACAGCTCAATATGCTGAAATGGGTCAGAAATATCAGAATGATTTCTCCCGTTTTAAATTCATGCTCCATGGGCTGATATGAATAATGACAAATGAAATGATAAATTTTCAATGCAGATAATATCCCATGCCGAAGTCTCGTCAGTCACTGCCATTTTAATAATTGTCATCATCTGTAATTAATACCCGGGACTTCAATGAAGACTATTGATTTCAGTTTATCTTCTTCATACTCTCTTGCACAAGACTCCCATTTTGCTATATATCTATCTGAGTGCATACTTCTCAGTTAAACATAAATAGCAAAATGATCTGTATCTAGGCTGTGTTAATTATGAAAATTAAATGTTTCAAATAAAATTCTTAAATATGGGACAGCATAGGTGGAAAAATTCAATCAAGTGAAATTTTTAAAAATGTTGGTAGGGTGTGGGGATAGGATATTAACTGGTCTATGCAGATCTATGAGCTCTGTGTCAGGAGACTACTAGGAAACAGGCCATAAACAGATCAAAAGGACATGACGATCTTCGATGAAACTTCATTAATGGTGGAAATGAAATTAAAACTGTTTCATAATAGCATGATGCTCAATTAAGTAAGTCATTATCCAGTGCAGGATATTCACTAATAACCAGAAAGGATATCATTAAACTACTCAAGTTTGAAAACAAAGAACAATGACAGAAGACATAAATACTCTATTGGAGCAATTATTAACTGTTCAAAAGAGAAGTCCATTAACCTTTCCCTCATTTCACCAATAATAATAAAGAGCACGCCTAAAGCGGATAACTCTCCATCACTCCTCTGGCTATCTCTTTTAAGGCAATCTTTCCATGAACTGGCACGTTTAAGAGCCAAATTAATACCAGCCAGAACTGATACTTTCAAAGTAATTTCCCCTCAAGAGGGAAAGCCATAGCGATAGAGCATGAGGAGCTGCAGTGCAAATTACAATTTGTGTTACCTAGCTGAGGTATTTAGCCACCTTGTGAGAGAATGGAACAATGCTAAGTACCCTCAATCAATTGATTTGGATCCAAACTATTGAAAAGCCCACTGGAACATGGGGTGCTATGGTGTAAGAAGCTTTACCCAAGAGTAACATTAGTACAACAGGTTAACTGAGGGAGGGGGGTCCTAAATTGACCTTACAAGGGGAGAGCTCTTTCAAAGGGACTTATTTTGGTATGTTTTCTTGGAGTCATTCTTAGGAATTTTTATATTTATGCTATAGGTCTTGTGTTAAAATGGGAATTGTTGCCTAATATATAAAATAATTTTCATATCTAAAATCACAAAATTTACAACTTTTCAACTTTTTATCTGACACTGACACTTATGCATACTAAATTGTTTTTGATTATTTTTTTAAACTAGATAAGATAAGAAAAAACCATGGAATTTTCTGATTGCCAAACATGTAATCTAATTTTAAAGTGTTGAAATAGTTGTACCAAAAAGAAAGATAAAAAGATTGAGGGGTCTCTGGAACACACACCTGTAATATACAAACGCACACAAGCACAATAAGCCTTGCAAATTCTTTGCAAAGCAATAACCAACACCTTTTGTCTTCTTAAGTCTCATACAGTGACAGTACAACATTTTCTGTAAACATCTGTAGCATCTCTCAACAACAAGTCAATAACTTATGTCAACCCCTG